AAACGATTTGCTGAACATGGATGTATTAAACAAATGATTTTTGCATAGATTAGGAAGTCTAGATTATGATGGGTGATGCCAGCTTTTCAGGCATCAGCCACGAAGTTTTCATTTTAAGGAATTCATCTATGTCATTCCCATTTGAAGACACTGGTTATCAGTGAAGGATGAAGACTGTCTTTGATATCAAATAAGTGTTGCCATTCATAAACTAGGGCTACCGTATTCAACCCTGGTGACGACATCAGAATAAGAATACAATGCAATACGCATTTACTTCTCAGAATGCTTATAGATTGTATCGGTATCACAACAGCAACTAAAAATATCCTGCCAGATCATAGAGTGCTTCATAGTACATTTGGTCTCCAAGATTTTCATCGTCTGCTGCATGACTCTGCAATGAAGACCAGGGCAAAGCCTTGACAGTGATGCAGATGGATGCTGATATAGAAATATATATGCACCATGATGACGGTTGCAAGATATAGCAAAACAAAATGCACATTCAACACGTTTTTCAACCAACCATTTAAAGATTTCATCAGTACATCAAGTGACCCAAAACACTATTCATAATATTATTTGCTGATTACCATTCACAGCGGCTCTGTGTTGTGCTGCTACCATATTCTGCAACATTAGACATTCACATTGAAGCATCTGTGTTTGGATCTCATGCATCTATTTATAACGTGTGCGCACACAGGAGACTGCTTCCTGGGTTCAATTACTGGAATCAAAGTTATTCTGCATTATTCAGTTATTTAAAGATGTACCAAAGGCACTGAAACTGAAATGAATATTTGTAGGTCCTTGTACAAACAGTAGATGTCAGAAAAAGGCAAGGACATCCAATGACAGCAGACACAGAAAGTGTGAAAGAGTTGGCGAACCATTTCAAAAGCCTGCACTGGGCAAGTGGAGCTATTTTGTCCTAAGCAGTGTCCACTTGGATCAAGCTTGCCATCATACTTAACCCTTCTGTTTGTATATTTTTCAAATCAACCTGTTATTATACACCTCTGGAGCAGTTGAGTCGTGAACCTGGGCCTTTTGACTTAGAGGTAAGGACACTGCCACTGCAACAGCAGAGCCCCACAACTCAACCTTTTTTTAAAGTTAATCCATTTTTCTAATCACCTTGTTCCAAGATGTTATTATACACCTCCGGAGCCGGTGGAACTTGAACCTGGGCCTCTCAGTCCAGGGGCAGCGACACTAGCACTGCGTGCCAAGAGTGCCCTCAAGAATGATTGGCTAGTATGGGGATTGAACGCATGGCTTTGGTGTTATTGAATCAAACTCTAATCATCTGAACTAATCAGCCATTCAAAACTCAACTCCATCTATTTTTCCCAATCAACCTGTTTAAAGATGTTAATACACACATCTGAGGTAGGTGGGACTTGAACCCAACCCTCTTGGTTCAGGCATAAGGACGTGACTGCTGCACCACAAGAGGGCCCCAAACTCAACTTTTTTTTTCTAAAGTCCTCTTCAGAGATATTATTACGCACTTCGGGAGCAGGTGGGACTTGAACCCAAGCCTCTCGTTCCAAGGCTAGGGACACTACCCCTATGCAACAAGAGGACTCCAAACGAAGTCCAGTAAACATCACCTGTTCTCATTCAACTCTGCAGCTGTTCTATTTGAATCTTAAAGGAACTTGCATTTCTAACTCTGACTCTTTCCTTCGCGGAATCACTGAAGGAATTAGATTTAAGACTATGACAGACAGAAAACACAAGTAATTGAGTCAAACAACATTGTCAAGACATATGACAAAACAGAGAAACAGCTTATTTTACATTATGTTATTGTGTATTTGGCAGTGCCATTTATCAAATGTAGTGTCTGCCTTGTATTGCATTAGAATTCCAGCTCTAAGATCAATCCTTCGCTGCTTTTATGTGATCTTCTAATCTCTTTATACCACTGGTGTGGCCAGTCACAAAAACCAAGGTTGCATGTGATTGCTAAGTATGGCATTCAATGAATAAATCAATGTATAAATGTAATGATAACTTGTATTTATATAGCACTGTTAATGTAATAAAACATCCCAAGGTGCTTCCCATGAGCATTATAAAACAAAGTATGACAGAAACCTTATGAAGAGATAGGAGGCATGTGACCAAAAGCTTGATGGAAGAGTACATTTTATGGCATATCTTAAAGGAGGAAGATGGGGAGTCATCTATGCAGAGATTTGAAAACCACGAAGAGAATTTTAAAATTGAGACATGGTCTGATTGGGACTGGCTGTAGTTCAGTGAGTCCTGAGCCAATCAGTGAATGGTATTTAGTGAAATTCAGGACATGGAGAATAGAATTATCTCAAAGGTTTATGAAGTATAGAAAAATCTGGTCAGGAGAGGGTTGGAGGAGTCAAGTTTAGAGATAACAATCGTAAGAAGGGACAGTTTTGTTGACAATTGAGTGTGGACCATCCTTTGGTATGTAATTAAAAGGTTACTTGTGGTTTACTGAAGTAACAAATGTTGCCGGTTACACAAACAATTTTGCTGTTTTCCCTTGGTAATCCGAATTATGAGCTCTTGATCAGCTGTGAGCTACAATTAGAATAAGGTAAAGTCCTGAAGTTAATCAAAACAAATATTTACTCATAAACTGTTGTAGAATTGGGCATTACACATTGAAGAAAGTTAGTTTTATCACTCATGCTACAAACCTTACTAAAAACAGAAAAAAAAAGGTAGTCTGTGATGACCTTTCTCACGTCAGAAGTTTATTATTTGCCAGGTATGAGAGGGCATGGCTTAATACTTGCAACATCAATTGCTCACCATAGTACTAGACAGGGCTGATTCACATGCAGACCTCTTACATTGCATATTCCAAGGAGATCTAGCTGGTAGACTGCTAGCTGTATTTATTAAAATCCAGCTATCTGCCAGTGCACTTACTAGTTTCATAGGAAATGACCTTCGGAGTAGTGGTAGGTTTACTGTTAAATAATTTAAAATGAGGCTTTGGACTCAAGCAAAAACACTATCTCAGCTTAAATTGCCAACTATCAAATGACATAGTATAAGAAATAAGTGCCCTATATTTAATTGAATATTGTGCTGAGTATTTATTTGTCAGTTACTATATACAGACAGGTACCTAGTATAAAATGCTAATAACTCATATGAGCCATTGAGCATTAAACTGTATTAGATTATTTCAGCACAGTTCTGGTAAAAACTGATATGGATATGGCACTCCTTGGAAGGTACAGCAGCCTTCTTTACTGCAATGCTGATACTGCTACTCATTATTCGTCGACATTTTTGCTTTTTAACTGTGCTAGGGCTTATCTGAGCCAGGCTGATGATTGATCTATACATTGAAGTTCCTTTCAAAGTGAACTTGTGGATTATGCAAGTTATTTTGTCAAACTTTATAGAACTGGAGAGGATAGAGGTGAGACTTGGATGTGTAAGCTTTATCAGACTAGACTTTTAGAGAATGGTTTTGAAATACCAATTTGATAATGCTGATTGAAGCATAAGCTTTGAAATACTTACATTCTATCCAAAGTTTGTACATAGATATTTGGGTGTGATCTGCAAAGATCATCTTGATCTTGCTGGGATAGTCCTTTCCAGCTTTTATTGACCTTCAAAAGAGTCAAAACAGATGCCTTCCTTAAAATGAAGCTGCTATGAAAGCCACTGAGTAAGTACAAATTGACCTTCACAAGTCTGTGCTAGTGGTTAGAAACTACATGCAAGGTGAAATACACTAATCCTTTTATAGTTTGTAATGGGCATAAAGTTGTGGATAGATTGCCCAAAATAGTCCAGTTCATAATCCTTTGGATTTAAGACATCTGCTAATTTAACAAACTTTTGGAATTGTTTCCTTCGTATTTTTCCTATTAGTCAGCAACCAATCTTGTGAAGTATTGGTCCTTTTGAATAATGACTTTGGTACAGTTATGGGAGCATGTTGCTGAAACTCTACACACCACTGCTAACAATGTTGGAAGGAATCCTGCACATAAAATTGATGATCAGGCTAACTTAGACTGCTATTGTGCTATATGCATGTTAGATTGTTGACTGCGGATTCTTCTCAAGCAGGTACTAATACTTTCCTGCTAAACCTTACCACAATTGGGCATATTTCTGCAGCCATTAGCAGTACAAAATATGGGAGCTTTAATGTGCAGCAAAAAGTGATATTCAATGGTGAAGTTTGCATTCAGCCTGACAACACCACATGTGGTTTAGCTGCCAGGTCCAATATTGGTCCTGCACTGAATACAGACCCTGTTGTGCATATGGACAATATTTTCAGTTTTTTTCAATGAAAAGTCCAATGTTCCCACTGCAAGCTCTGCAGCAGCATAGGATCCATTTGAACTGAATGCATTGAGCAAGCAAAGTTACTGTTGCGATACAACCACTTCACTGTCAAGGGTCTGATCTTTGGTTAATTGCTCTCGTGCATAAATTGAGCGCTTTAGCAGTCATACATAGATTTATTTTCTAGCAAGTCAGAAATGACCCGAAACAGCAGCATGCACCAATATTTTACCCTCTTACCGTTACTATTTTTAGCTCTTATCACATATTCGTTGACAGCAATGCCTAAGCTTTTTTTCCAAGTTAGGAGCTGTTACCTAGACCATTTATAACTCAAGAAATTATCAGTAACTATATTTGGTTGTTAGAAGCTGTTCAAAAAATGGCTTATGTAGCTAAGACTTAGCTGCTCATAATAAAATGAAAATATAAAGAGCATTTGAATTTAGTCTGAATCAATACTAGCACTGTAATTTAGCCACGAGCTTGAGATTGTGGTTAAAAATATGCAACCTGATTGGTGCACAAAACTCCAAATATCTGTGTATACGCTTGCGCCATTGTTAATTTTTGCTTTTTGTGCTTATCTGCTAGGAAGGTCTGCTGTTTGCACAGCTGTGTACTGATCAATGCATACTATCATTTAACATTATTTCAGCAGAAGTGCTCCTTGTCTACAGGTTTTCGCAATTTACATGTGGATGACCAAATGAGTCTCATACAGTATTCGTGGATGGCAGTTATGGTCTTCGCAATGGGATGGAGGTCTTATAGAATTGTGAATTCCAGAATGCTCTACTTTGCACCAGACTTGGTATTTAATGAGTAAGTGAAAATATTTCTGGTAGGAGTGTGCTGTGCACTGACTTCAGGTTGAAATTACAGAATTTATTAGCGATTTACCTGAAATATTCAACCAATAAACTCTATTGGCTGTGGCAGTTGTCCCTCCCTAATAAGGAACCTCGAATATAAGCTTGACACTAAATTTATGACTCATGTTAGTCTGCTATGTTTCGTGCCCTCAATTCGTAGTGGCTTCTCATAATGCTGAATCCCCCTTGTAGGGAACTGTTCGCTACAATATAGCAATATCTAATATTGTTAGACAAATTAGAACTATTGGCAAATGAAAGCTTTTGACAGATGAGGCTAAAAAGATTTTTTTAAAAGAAAAATGTAAACAGCAAATTGTCATTATTGTAAAGTACTTTCTTCTGGCCCTGCCTACAAAAGGTAAAAGTGTGTTTCTTCAAACATAACAATTCTTTTTCTGTTTCAATCAAATGATTTTCAAAGTTCCTCATACTGATTAGGGGGAAGACAATAGCCTAATTCATCCATCCCAGTTATAATTGGGTACCCTTGACAATGGAAATCTGAATTAGTCAGGTTTCTCACCTGAGGTTTTAAAGGCTGTTACCTAATTGTCAAGTTATACCAATACATGTGCAAATTGGGAATTGTGTTTGAATTTAACTTCTATTTAAATTGATAATATTACTGGTATTATATTTTTTGTTCATGTTAATCATTAAAATGATAAACTGTTTAAAGTGTAGTATTTGTAGTTTAACATGCGCCAATTACAAAATGCCATTTTTGACTTCCTTGAGTTGTGAGCTTTGCAAATATGCCCATAAAGCATTGCAGCAATTATTTTTTTCCCTCTGTAACTGCCTGGCAATCTGAAAGCCTCCTGGCATTCTGAAATATTCAGCAAAATAATATGACGGGTTGGGGTATTTTGGCTTCTACACTTCTGAAATATTGGTAACTAACTTTCTGTTGTGATGTAATTTAAATGACTGTGATCCTGTATTATATAGAATAGTTTCACTCTGCCTTTAGAAATGCTGTAGCATTGGACAAAAATCTTATCAAGGGACAGTTGCTTTTGGAAATAAATGGCGATGTTTAGATTTAAGGAAAAGTACGATTATTTTGTGTGTGTGTATATATATCAGCCTATATACAATTTTCAGGAAAGTTGCTGCACAAATGTTTCCAGTTTGTTTGGATGAACTAACTTGCATTAACCATGCTCAATATTGATATAATTCCTTAATGTCTTTGAATTTTCTGGTGTCCCTTGGAATGATACGCAGGCATATTTCTGAGCTTGAACACGTTAGCCAATTTCCCAATTTTATGGATGTCACTTGCAAAAAATATTGTTTTGTAACTATGTTGATAAAACTTGCCAGTATATAAAAAGATTGGAAACTGTAGGATGGGACTAATTTCTTCAATAAGTGGGCATTATGATCTAGTCCTCGCAGCAGAAAATGATGCTTACAAGAGAGAAAGAAATCTGAAAAATGCAAGTGCGCAGGCCAAAATTTGCTGTTCATTAGTCAGAAGCACAAAATCATAATTTTGTGGGAGAGCATCCCAGAGCAGCTTCATTGCAAATAATGGGCTGCAAAGTCAGACCTCCTGAACATTCATGCTATATGTTGAAATGTAAATAATTTTTCTTTTTAACAATCTGCAGCATGTCGTAAGAGAAATAAACATAGCTTTTATTTTGTAAGAGAACAATGTATTTCAGCATCCGTACAAAATGGTATCATGACGTTAGAGGTGAATGATGGTATATGTGATTAGTATTCATATATTCTATCAAGTGTAAGCGCAAATACCTCAGTTACTTTTTTTGCCAAGTCAGATTTTATTTTCTAATCATTGTAATTCCCAGTATTGAATTGGATCAGTTCTTCAGTTTTACCGCAGTTTGTAGATTAGGTGAAGCATTTTATTATGGTTGCTACACTAAGCGTAAGTATTCATTTTGATAAGTGCAATTTATCTTTCGAGTTTCTTTTGTAGGACGCAAAGCCATCAGTCTTGGCACTTCTGAAGAAAAAGTGCTCATTATTTTCTTTATTAGAGCGTGTGCATAACAATCAATACAACAATGCCTTTACAATCAAGGTGGGTGATGTTACGAGTGGTCTCTGTTCCACATTTTATAGAGATCAGGCGCAATTACATCAGTATGCTTTTCTCCAGCTGAAAGATTTTATCTTTCAGTCATTGCATTTTGCAGTATTTAATTAGGGCAGATATTCAGTCTTATCATACTTTGAAGGAATGAATTCCATTACATAAAATGTTTCTACAGTTGCCACAATTATTTAGGTTTTATTACTACAGTTTGTTTATCTTGCAGGCTTCTATTTTAGCTCCTAGATCATGAAGTCATTTAACATCAGCTGAGGATTTTCAAAAACAATAAATAATTAATTTTTTAGGATATGTGTACAAAAGAGAGCAACATTGCAAAGTCTATTTTTAAGCCTAGCAGCAATCAGCACAGTTCTAAATACACTGACAGCACTTCAGTTCTGTGTTTCTAAGACAGTTATATCAACAGCGGACAGACAGCAGTAAAACAAAGAAAAACAAAGTTAACAGATAAACCAGGACGCTAAGCCATAATACTGAAATGTGACAAACCTGGCAGTTGCAGCACTAGAGGGCACCAGTAGTATGATCTTGGCTTAACTGCTGGGTTTACGTTCTGGACCATAGTATCTGCACCAATTTATGCCAATGGACTAAGTAAATCACGAAGTACTCACTAAGTAAATCACTCTGAATCAAGCAGACAAGGAACTTGAATTAATGTAGCACTTTCAGGCATCTCAAGACAATACAAAATTAATGAATTACTTTTGAACTGTATTCTTTGTTATGAAAATGAACATGGAAGCCAAGGGCCCACAAACAACACATGGGCGCACAATCTGCTGATTTGTTTCCTGTGCTGTTGCTCCGAGAAAGAATATTGGCTGGTATCTGAATTCTGTTTTCCTTTGAGTAGTGCCAGATGACCTCTTGCATTCTCCTGCACAGCAGCATCAGTTAACATCTATTACAAAAGAGAACACCAAGCAATATAATACTAAATATTAACTGTAGAATTTAGCATTCATTAGAATCACACCTGTGAGAACGTTCAGCTTTAGATGCAGAACAAATGGAATGCAAGATTATGCTACCTGAAAATATTGACAATCAATGACATTACTAACTTTTCATTCACACTGCCGACAAGAGAAGCATCGTAGCACTATGAGTCAGGAAATTTTATCAGGTTGACATTGGTTTGCAAGACAGAGACAGTTAAAAGAAACAGAATTTAACTACTAAAATGTATTGCATCTTACTAATACGTTATAATTGTAATAGACATTGTGTCTCTTTTGAACTGTTTCTGTCAAATATTGTGATTTATGGCTAGGTCTTTATATTCTTAGGATATTCGGTTGGTGTTGTTTCTTTGATATTTGGAAAATAATATTGTATAATCCCGTACCAAAAGCTTTTGCACGAACATACCAATACAGTCAAGTTGCACGGAAAATATGATTCTTGGATCCAATCTTCATGATTGTTTATCGTCCATCAAGATTTCTCATACCCATGGGTATTTCTTTAACTTTGAGGCTAGCCAGATTTACCATGATTTCTTTCCTGTCATGCACATCCCTAAAGATAATCTTGAGATAAATATAAATAATTCGCAAAAGAACATTGATAAACTTCCCAGTTCAAACATCTACTTATGCCATTGTATCCTTCCCACACAAAATTAAAAGCTTCAACTAGGATATAGTTTTCACAGCCACATGGAGCAGCTTAAACCCAACACGATGGCAGTTTGCCTACAAGCCATGGGCAAGGGTATTTTGAGACATCCCTTCTTCAATGCCATCTGTTGTCAAATTAGACCACTCCCATTGTCCCTGTTGTAGCCTTTCTGTGATCTTGACTTGGTGCCTACAGTTGTAGCTTAACTTAGTTAGGTGGATGGCTGGTTTGTGATGCAGAGTGATAACAACAGTCCAGGTTCAATCCATGAGATTACCATGAAGGTCCCTCCACCTCAACCTTGCCCCTTGCCTGAGGTGTAGTGATCCTCAGATTAAGCTACCAAACATTGTCACTCTCTAATGAGAGCAGTCGTATGATCCTCAGTGCTATGGTGACTTTACATCTGCAATACTTTGGTGAGAAATAGCTGGGAAAAGGGTGCCATTACAGATCATTAAAATAAAAGAAGGCAAATGGTCGAGATCATTGAAAAAATAAAGGAAGTACCTTCAAATAAGAAAGACATGCAAAACATTTGCAAGAAGTGAATAACAGCAAAATATAAAGGCTGAGCATTTGTAATAAAATAACTGAGACAGACTTCAAGTGCCAGAGTGCTGAATTATAGGAAAAGAAAAGGAAAATTAGCAGTTCTGTGTATGAATCAATGAGCAGATTTTTTTCAAGCTTCCTAAGGTTGTAGGCACAGCCAGTGCATATTCATGCATCCAAGATGACACGTGAACCATGTAGTAAAATCATCCTGACTGTGAAGAAAGTACAGAGTATACTGCAAATCAAACCAACTAAACCAATCTAATCAGTCAGTCTTGAAAGCCGTAAAGCGCTGCCAAGTTCTGAAAATACATTGAACTAGATTTTTGAAGGTGTCACAGCCATTTTTCAACTGCACAACCGAGCCCTAATAATGCACAGATCCATTTAACAGCAGAGAAGCACTTTTCACTAGAATAGTAAAGGAAGCAGAGGTGCAAGTAGGCACCTGTTGTTCAAAGCCCCTTTTATCAGCAGGCAATAGAGGAGCAGATATGTAGTCACTTCACAGAGGTAATCAGGATTTCACCTTCACCAACATTCATTGGGATAATTGTAGTGTAAAATGTGTTCAGGAGAGCTTTTTATGTCAACACGTAGAAAGTCCCAACAAGGGAAAGTGCAGTGCAAGAGCTAATTCTGGAGAAAGAAGCTGAACATGTGATTGA